GCCGGGCCCGGGTCCCTCCGGGAGCCTGGCCCGTGGCCCGCCGCGCCGACCCTATCGTTCCCTGGCATCTCCGAGTTTCCAGTTTCCCCCTCGGTAGGGAACCAAGGAGCAGAAGGAGGTCAGGTAACAATCCCAGGCCGCAGTGATTTTCCCGAAACAAAGAAATGCACCAACAAGTCTACCCTCCCTGGTCCCCAGAGGGGGAAAAGACTCAGCCAGGGCTCCTAGGTGGGGGCCAAAGGAGGACAGGCGATCCGGGGGCCCGCCCCGCCCGACGGATCCCACCCAAAGGACCCGGAGCACCCTCTTCTCAGATAAAACTGCCAGGGACCCTCGGGGCCATCAGCCCACACGCGCAACGCCAGCGGAGGTGGCTGGAGTTCCAACCCGTGCGCCCACCGGGGGCCCGCTGTCGTCCTGCCGCCCGCAGGAAGGGCGCTCCGCCGGCCTCAGCCCCGAGCGCTCCGCCCGCGCAGACACACCTGCCCCGCACACCTCGCTTGCCTCCAGCCACCCGCACCCACGCACCCAGAACTGGGGCAGGGCAATCCGGAGGTTCCCAGATGCCCAGGTTCCCCTTCCAAGCCCAGACCCGGCGCTCAGACCCCGCAGAGCGGTGCGTCTTGAGGCCACTTACCTGCCGCGCTCGGCCGCGCTCCCCGCCCCTCCGCCTTCCTCCGCGCGTCTTCACCTCCGCCTCCCGGGAGGTCGCGCCTTCCTCTGCCCGGCGCTCAAGTCCCGGGCCTTCCCCAGATCTCGCTTTAATCTCAGGAGGCGGTGTCCCCAGGGCTCAGGGCTACACCCCCCAAACGCGAATCCCCGTTCAACCGGGGCAGGAGGAGGGGACAAGCCGGAGCGGCCATCCCGGACTGGAGGAGGAGTTTCCCCAGGGGAAGCCCCGGACGCGCGCCAGAACAGGGACTCCAGGACGTCTAGGGTCAGGCACCCGCAGGCAGTCGGAGGCTGAGAAGAGGCGCTGCCCTCTCCCCAAGTCCGCAGGTCCTCTCCGGTCGCGGGGCGACGCGGTCTGAGGGCTGCGTTTGAATTTAGGAGGGGGATTCTCGGGAATCGAGTCTCCACGTGAGCAGGGTAGCTCCAATTTCCAGACTTCCTGTAGAAGTGTGTCCTCTGTGCTGACTCTGGGCTGGTGGACCGGGCCAGGTTGGCCCAGGAGGTGGCCCTAGGGGACCGCTGGCCCACGTACAAAGGTCCGGGATGCAGCGCCGCTGGGGGCCAAGGACCCTTCTCGGTTCCCCTTGGCTTTTCTTGCAGGACCGCTGGCCTCCAGTCTCCCCTCCTCCTAACGTCTCCTGGACAGCGTTCCCCAGAGGGACACGACATCTTTTAGTGGGCCATCGGTGGAACCCGGCTGAGGAATATGCCTCAGTTCAGAAGACCCGCCCTTCCCCCACTTCTGAAGCCCCTTGGCAAGTCTGCAATTGTGGAGCTCAGCTTACACTGCCCAGAGTACCCAGCAGAGCAGGCCACCCCCAGGCAGTCCTCCCTGCATACTGATGGGCTGGAGCCAGTGTTTTGGAAGTGTAGACAGCCCCTCTGGAAAACTTGCCCTTGTGTACAGGAAATGTCCATCTTCAAAGGACTTTTTCATTAGTGTAAAGGTTCAGCAGAAAAAGAGAACTGCTCCAGGCAGCTCTGGTCACCAAGAGTCCTTAGTCCTGACTCTGGAGTCCTTATCACCAGGACTGTCCTGCTGTCCCTACAGCAGGGACTGCAAACCCTTGTTCTTTCTGTAGTTTGACGTGGCCTACAAGCCTCAATGGTCTGGCTGGGTGTCTTAGATTTGTGAATGCCTATCCCTGCACATATAACTTTAAATGATTTTTCTGTGAATCTGTCTTATATCAATTTAATTCATATACCAGCCAGAGAAGCTGAGAGTGTAGCAATACACGAATTAAGATACGAATGAACATTTATGAATTTAAATGTTAATTTTCCTCCCCGAGCAATACACAAATTAACATTTATGGATTTAAAATAAACCTGAAGCAGAGTAAAACCTAAATCATTCCCAGCCACTGGCTGCATGGGCCCAGCCGCCCTGGGAAGCGCTCCCTGAATCCCCTCCTGTGGAGCTGGACCTTCCTGGCGAGTTCTTCTCTCCCACCCTTCTTTGGGGAGCATTACAAGGAGGTCTTTCCCCTGGATGCTGCTGCCTCCCCATCTCAGGACTTCACTGCTTTGCAGGTAGGCCCCAGTGGAAGACCCTCAGGAGCAGTGTCCCACAGGGAGCCCGCCGGTAGCTGTCTTCGGTGGCAACTCACTTCTTTCTGTATTGACAGTGTGTTCTGCACCTTTCTAGCAGGGACTCCTGAGGTCCCCTGGCACACAGGTGGCATCAGCCCTCTTGAGGTGTTTGTCCACCCACCATCCTTTTTCCCTGTTACAGTAGTAGGCAGGTACTAGAGAGGAGCAGAGCCTGTAGGGGACATGGAAGAGATTTATATGAAGAATTGACTCACACAGTTTGGGAGCCGGAAGTCCACGATCTGCCCTCTGCGCCTGGAGTCAGAGAAGAGCCTGCAGTTCAAAGGCCAGAGAGCCAAGAGCCACACCCCAGGGACAGAGGACCTGGAGCAGAGGCGGAGTGTGAGTTCAGCCCTCTTCCCCCTTTCTGCTTCCTTCAGGCCCTCGCACGCACACTGGCTGATGCATGCACACTGGGCAGAATGGGCTGCCTTCCCCCAGTGCCAACGCGATGAGAACCTCCTCAGAGGTCGCATCTGGAAATGACATTTAACCAGCGGTCTGGGCCCCAGGGCCCAGTCAACCTGATCCATGAAAGTAGCCATTGCAAGTCCACCCCCACCAACTTGACACCCAGGTTGGTCTCCCTAAGCCACACTTAACCTCCCAATAAAGACAATAGCAAGGCTACAATTCCGCCAGACCTGACAGAACTATCAGAACTGTCTGCACACAACCAAAAATGTCCGGAAGAGGAGATGAAGTCCCAGCCCCATGTCCACTTCTCCTTGACATTCCCCAGCTTAAGTACCATGATGAGGATTCAGTGATACACAGGAGAGTGATCTGAAGTCATGATACATGAAAAGGGAATGAGAAAGTGCATCTGAGAAATCACACATACATGCACGCAAAATGTATTCAGAACAAACTAAGAACCAATCGTCTGGGTCCTCCTCTCTGTAACTGGCCACATGGTGGGAGCTGGAATTTATGGCTACCTTGCCCTGCTCCTCCTGCTATCCCTTTGTCTTCGGCACGCCGCTTACCTGGATGGGTCACCTACACCTTAATCACTGAAGGGCCTGGGACATCAGAATCGTGCCCAGGTTGGGTGGTTACGGTTTTCCCTTGACCTGAGTCACAGCATGGGGGAACTAAGAAATGCCCCAGGGACTCTGATGCACCAGACACCTGCTCCTTACTTCCACAGTGGAGCAGCAGGGTAGCCTCTCTGTGGTAGTCAGGGTCGACCAGCCCGACCAGTGCCGCAATTCTCTTTGCCAGTTGTCTCACAGGCATGGGGAGTCCACAACGGCCAGTGGCAGTCTTCAGTTCTAGTTTAGTGGAATCCTTATTGTGTCTCCTGGTGGAAGCACTTCTCCCTCGGAGTGAAGCCCTCTACGTCAGCAGAGAATAAACTCACGTGAGCAGGAAGCAAACATTTCACTAGTGGGTCATTGGACTTAATAGTGACTAATGCCACTCCCATTTCCACCCCTTGATTCCTGGTCCCGTGAGTCCCAGCAAGGGGAGAAACAGCACTATGTAGGGGACACTGATCCAGGGCACACACAGCCTTGTGGGGAACCTTGGCCCTGCTCTGCAAGGTTGTGCCTGCCAGAGGCCTCCACTACTGGGTCTTCGAAGGCCGTCCACCATCCTATCAAGGGCTGCCCAGGATGGTGGGGAACATTGTAAGGCCAGTGAGTTCTATGAGCCAGGCTCTATGGCTGCACTTCTTTGGCTGAGAAGTGATTTCCTTGGGCAGAAGCAATGCCATACGGAAGATCATGGCTGTAGGAAAGACATTCTGCACATCCCCAGAGGGTGTCTCCGGCAGAAGCACTGTGTACAGGCAAGGCAGATTGTCCCAGTAAGAACAAATGCCGTCCCTTCCACCATGGAATCCATCCAATGTAACCATCCTGCCACTGGGTAACCGGCAGATGGCTCTGGAAATGGTGCCATATCAGGGACTCCATCTCTGCTGCTGGCAGGTGGATGCTTATTGGTGACTCTAACCAAGTCACCCTTGGTGAGTGGAAGTCCATATTGCTGAGCCCATGTATAACCCCCATCCCTGCCACCATGACCACTTTGTTCCTGAGCCCCTTGGGCAGGAACAGGGGTGTCTGGGGAAGAGGCTAACTGGTATCTACAGGATGAGTTATCCTACTCCACTTGCTATTTAAGGTCAGTCACATATCTCTTCCCCAAATCGGTTTGTCAACAATTTTTCAATTCAAGTCCCTCCCCACCCTGCCAAACCACTTCCTGTAGCCCTCCAGTGGGTATAGAACCTCATGTCTGGACATCTCTGAGGGGTGCACAGCCAGGCGCACTGCTCAGCCTGCGGCCCTCAGGGAGGATTTCTTATCACCGCTGTCCTTAGGGGTGTCCCAGAGAGGGGCTGTGGTGCTGCAGCTGTCCACTTCATAGCATGCAGAACTTCTGTAAACCAGGCTTGAGACTTCTCCCCTGTCAACCCATCGCAGGGCACTCCCCGAAGCCCAGGTGCAGGCTGGGCCAGAGAAGGCAGTGGATTGGGAGTGGGGACCATGGACGTTTGGGCCACTTGTTCATATAACTAACTTGTGCCTTCAGGACCGGGTCACACATGTATCACACTTCCAAGTACTGTGCATATCCAGCCTAATGGCTTGGTGTCGACATAACACCCGGTCCATGATGGGCAGCCCAGGTCACCTGGTGGCCCATGGCCAAGCATTCAGTTCTCACCACGCCCAGTAGCAGGCCAAGAATTATCTCTCAGAAAGAAAGTAGCTATGTAGAAAGGATGGCTGGGCTCTGTCCCTAACCTAAGGGCCTCCGCTGTGACTCAGCTACGGGACCTGCCAAAGGTTTACTGACACCTCAAGCACTGTCAGGTCTGCTGAGTCACGTGGCCTGAGTGGAGGAGCAGCTGGGCCTGTGGCAGGGCCTTCTTAAGAGGGTTCAGATGCAGCCACTCATCCCTCACCTTGGAAGGGGCATCTCAGCACACCCCACACCACTGCCCCTTGGGTGTCTCAGTGTTTTCCCCATGCTAATTCCTGCTCACCAGGTCCCAGCAGCATACTGCACCAAGAAGAAGATGTATCTTTCACCCACAAACACAGCAGAGACAGCACAGGAAACCCGGTCTCTGATAGCATCCTTGAGACACGGAATCAAAGCACCCTGAAGTCCAGCCTGCTTTCCCCACTGTCTGCACAAGGACCTCTGGAGAGTCAGACCTGTTCACCAGGAAAGCAGCTGTGACCCAGGAGCACAAAGCGTGAACAGTCAGCAGCAGTTCTCTTCCACAGATGGTGGGCCAGAGAGCCTGGAAAACGCTCCCTCTACAGAATAGCCAGAAAGGCTCAGTGAGATAATATGTCACTAGTGTCCTTTAACATCACATCAGACTTTGCAAGAAAACTTGGGAAACCTCATCCTTGAAAGTGAAGTGGCAGCCCAGGGTGAGAGCCGTGAGGTGTTGGGCCTCTGGAATCTTCTGTGAGTACCCATCCCCCTGAAGGGTGGCAGCCAGTTGAACTTGTCTCTAGTCTTTGCTCCCAATGAAAGAGGAATCTTGCTCTTCTGAGCATGTATAACTAGAAGC